TAATATCACAAGTTGTAATGGAAAGAGACAAGATGATCCAACTGTTTGCAGTGGAAAGGGCAAATGTTTTGAAGATGGTCATTGTCAATGCTCTTATGGATATGGAGATAAAGATTGTCAGGTTAAAACTTGTTTTGGTAAAACTTCACTCGATCCAAGTGTTTGTTCAGGAAGAGGTGTTTGTACTGATATTGACACGTGTATATGCCAGTTGAGATATGGAGGTAAAGATTGTCAAGATTATCAAGACACAACTTGTTATGGCATTTCTTCTATGGATGCAAAAGTTTGTTCAGGAAGAGGTACTTGTTTAGATATTGATAAGTGTTCCTGCTTGTCAATTTATGGAGTCAAGATTACAGGTGATTCTTGTGAAAACTTACTTTGTATAGGTATTTATAATGGCGTTGAAGATTATTACTCAAGTACTGATTTTAGAGTTTGTTCAAATCATGGTAAATGTTTTATCAATTCTACAAGTGGTGTTGGAAAATGCGCATGTGATTCAGGATACTATGGTGAAAAGTGTGATCAATTTGATTGTAATTCTATTTCAAAGAGTAGCTCCAATGTTTGTTCAGGACATGGTCAATGTGTAGATGTCAATACTTGTTCATGTGTTAATGATCACATAAATGGCCATTATTATGGATCTGATTGTAATACATGTCATCCTGCCTACACTGGTACAACATGTACTGAGAGATATTGTACCGACTCAACTTGTTTGAATGGTGGATCTTGTGGAAGCAACAATACTTGTGTTTGTACAGGCAATTTTGATGGATTTATTTGTGAAAAGTGTAAGACTAATTACTATGGGTCAAATTGTGATATGTATTGTAATGATCAAACAACTTGTAATGGTAATGGTAATTGTGACGCTACTGGAAAATGCTCTTGCTATCAAGATAGAGATAATGGCCACTGGAATGGAACTTCTTGTAATGATTGTATGAATGGCTACTTTGGAGGTGACTGTGCAACATACTTTGGATCATTCAATTCAAGCTATGTCAATGAAATTTATGCTCAAATTAATGAACTATTTGATGGAGTTACCCTCAAATTATTTGCTCCACCTTCATACAGTGCAAATACAGTTCCATGCTCCAAGTTGATTCACGGTGATGACTTGGCATTGCTTGGTACTGAGCCAAAATGTTTCTGGACTGATAAGGCAAATGGTAATTTCAAGATTCAATTCGATTATGATTTTAGTTTAACAGCATCAAGTAATATTAGGGTTAACAAATATGCATTCTCAAAGATTACTACTACCAGCCAGCGAAGCATGGAAAGTTACATTGGGTTTGGGTTTGGGTTTGGGTTTGGGTTTGGGTTTGGGTTTGGGTTTGGGTTTGGGTTTGGGTTTGGGTTTGGGTTTGGGTTTGGGTTTGGGTTTGGGTTTGGGTTTGGGTTTGGGTTTGGGTTTGGGTTTGGGTTTGGGTTTGGGTTTGGGTTTGGGTTTGGGTTTGGGTTTGGGTTTGTGTTTGGGTTTGGGTTTGGGTTTGGGTTTGGGTTTGGGTTTGGGTTTGGGTTTGGGTTTGGGTTTTGGTTTGGGTTTGGGTTTGGGTTTGGGTTTGGGTTTGGGTTTGGGTTTGGGTTTGGGTTTGGGTTTGGGTTTGGGTTTGGGTTTGGGTTTGTGTTTGGGTTTGGGTTTGGGTTTGGGTTTGGGTTTGGGTTTGGGTTTGGGTTTGGGTTTGGGTTTGGGTTTGGGTTTGGGTTTGGGTTTGGGTTTGGGTTTGGGTTTGGGTTTGGGTTTGGGTGGTTGGGTTTGGGTTTGGGTTTGGGTTTGGGTTTGGGTTTGGGTTTGGGTTTGGGTTTGGGTTTGGGTTTGGGTTTGGGTTTGGGTTTGGGT